ACATCGTCCACTTTGCCTAACAAAAGGGAGCCCAGCCGCCCATTTCCCACCCGGCCACGCTGTGCCGACAGCCCAGAGCGCCCCCTGTACCCCGCGCCATCTACCCGACCATGACACCCCATATTCACTTGCCAGAAAACCTCCTCAGCCACAAACCCAGTCAGCTTGTTTACCCCATAACTCATTCCCCTTGCAAACCATCTTCAGCCACACCTAGTCCGTCTGTCAGAAGCAGTCCAGACAGCAGTCCTCACCGTAGCCCTTCTGGTCCGGCACCACCAGCTTCTTTCTACCCCACTGGGCTAGGTTCTTACCCCAGTTATTCCCCACCGTCTGCCCCGCTGTCCTCACCATTCTACGCTCCAGGGACCCCTTACTCACGTTACATCCTACCACATCCCTACCCTCTACCAGGTGGAAACGTCCCTGCTGGTGGAGGAATATTTCCTCGAATCTACCCCCTTTACAGCAGTCTCTTATCCTCGCATGTGCCCCTCCTGCCCTCTGACCCAGCAGCTAGGCGCTTCCTTGTGCCTGAACCGGTGCACCCCACTTCTATCTCTGCCCACAGAGACTTTCTCCTTCCGGGGCCCACCAGTGCCTTCTCAGCCGCCACCACTCTGAAAGACAAAGCGGGACCTCACCACCCTTATCCTGGGCACCTCCACCCACACGGACCAGCCCACGCTCCCTCCAGTGGCTCGCCAACTGCTGGCACAGCACCTCCCAGCGAACAGGTGCCAACTAAGCCTACCTCAGCCCTGCTGGGCAACTCTAATGAACATCACTCTGATGAAGAGGCTGTTAACCTGACCAAAGTAAAACGTGGAGCGGGGTCAGCGGGCTACAAGGCACTACCGTACCCACTGAAGAAGCAGAATGGCAAAATCAAGTATGAGTGCAACGTGTGCAGCAAGACCTTTGGGCAGCTGTCAAACCTGAAGGTGAGACTTGGAAGGTGTTCCAGCATAATGTCTGCTTGTGTAATTGATGTCTTTATTGTCATCCTTGTGCTCTGTGAGGACTGCAGCGTAATCAGTAGGCAGCAGGGCGGGTCTGTGGTACCCGGAGGGGCAAGAAGTGCCTCCAGATGTTTCTACATTAAACATGAATCAAGATTATTATCTGAAAAGGATTAAAATGTTGTTTTTACTCCTTGTCATGCAGGTTCACCTTCGAGTGCATAGCGGAGAGAGGCCGTTCAAATGCCAGACCTGCAGCAAAGGTTTCACTCAGCTCGCTCATCTGCAAAAACACTACCTGGTCCACACCGGGGAGAAGCCACACGAGTGTCAGGTAGGAAATATCCATGCAGATCAGCTGATTCATTATGGGATGAGGTTTTTAGCTCACATGTCTACAAGCCGCTGATACCATTTCATTTCATCTCCTCTTCCAGGTGTGTCACAAACGCTTCAGCAGCACCAGCAACCTGAAAACCCACCTGCGCCTCCACTCAGGGGAGAAGCCTTATCACTGCAAACTCTGCCCAGCTAAGTTCACGCAGTTCGTCCACCTCAAGCTGCACAAGCGCCTCCACTCCCGTGAGCGCCCACACAAGTGTCCCCACTGCCACCATCACTACATCCACCTGTGCAGCCTCCGGCTCCACGTGAAGGGTTACTGCCTGGCGGCGAACTCTGGCTCAGGCAGCCCAAATGTTTCCAGCCAGGCTTCTTTGGAGGAGATCCACCGCGCCAACGAGGAGATTGAGCGCTTTGACATCAGCGAGCACGCCGAGCGACTGGAGCAGCTGCAGGGAGGGGTGGAGATGGACTCCATGTTGGAGAAGCAGGTGTTGGGGATGCTGTGGCAGGAAACCGACCTTAAGTCTCCCCAGTTCCATGCGTACCACAACAGCAGTGCCACAGAGCTCCTGTCGGCAGGTTTTGGCGCGTACGACTCTCCCAATGAGACATCGGTCATCAAGATGCGACACAGCAGCCCCATTCCACCACTTCCTCCCAAGATTACCGTCAAGCTGGAGTCGGAGGATCATGCCTAAACGACCTTTCATGTACCAGAGACAGATTTGAGACTGCATGGTGGACTTGTTGCCAGGAGCAACAGCTGTACATGAATAATTACTAGGTTGTCATAGTGACATCACTATGTTTTCAACCTATCAGGAACTCGCATACTCAGGGCTGCAAGAGACACTGTCCCATGACTACTCAGTGATTCTTATACTTAGACAATCACCTAACGAGGTTTTACCTGTAATTAATATAATTCTGTCGTCTTTAATATTCTTGTCTGATGTTGAAAAGTTTTAGTTTTTGATAAATTAGCAGTTTGTATAATCTAATTTATTCTACTTTCTATTTTGTGGTTTGAAAAGCAATAAGTGGAGTGGATGTATGTTGGATGGGGTGAAGACGTGAGAAAATATTCTGTTGATGTGCTTTTTTTTGTTGTTGTTGACTCTGTAAATAATTCCCTTTGCCCATATTTATCTTGGCACCTCTGTTTGGTAGAAGTGGGGGTGTCCATTCATCAGGGTTTTGCCTTTTTCAACATTTTGAAAAAAATTAACAAAGTCGCAGGTTGAAATACTAGAAAAATTTCCAGATACGGCACATAAATTTGCTTCAACCTTCCTTGTTAGCTTTCCTGAAGTTTCGTGTTTTTCTGATGCTCTTTTTCTATTTAAATGAAACAAAGAGGACATTCTCTTTTTGTAGATTTTTCACAACAGTTACCTCAGTGTGTATGTGATGATGATGATGATGATGTGTGTGTTTAAATGAATAGCTGAAGGTGGGATTTTTCTATTTATTTTTTTCTACTTGAAGAAAAAACCAAACTGAACTGGAACGCAGCTCTTCACGTGGTCCAAAGGAGCAGCGCGGCGCGGCCCGCTCCACATGTAGCACATAACGGACCCAGGAAGCTGGTTAGCCTGGTTTGTCCTCTCTTCTTCCTCCTTTTATGTTTTATTTCTGTGTGTGTGTGTGTGTGTGTGTGTGTGTGTGTGTGTGTGTGTGTGTGTGTGTGTGTGTGTGTGTGTGTGTGTGTGTGTGTGTGTGTGTGTGTGTGTGTGTGTGTGTGTGTGTGTGTGTGTGTGTGTGTGTGTGTGTGTGTGTGTGTGTGTGTGTGTGTGTGTGTGTGTGTGTGTGAGTGAACTAATTTGGAGATTTACGCTAGAGGCTAGAAACCAAAGTTCACTTGGCTATAATTTTAAATCCACACAAAGACAAAACAAAACATTCAAAAGGGAAAACTTTGAAAAAGGGAATGAGAAGTAAAAGGGATTAAATGCAGAAGAAAGGAAGATTAACTTTCTGGATGTGATGAAGTGTTTGCTCTTTAGCTCTGGGATCCAGTTTTGTATATATATTTTATTTTGTCGTTGCTATTTGTAACAGCCCCATTCATCCGCTGCCTTGTTAAGAACACCTAAGCACCTCGGCCCTCTCTTATGCACTGCCTCCCACCTCTATCTTTATGTCTTTAGGGCCGAAGCTGGTATCATTTACACTGTGTCCAATATCTCTGAAACTGGTCAAAACTGCATTAAGACAACTGTGATTTTCTGTAGCAGTTGTACATCAACAACTCAGAAGTTTTCTTTCTTTTCTCTGTTTTATTATTTGTTTTAGTGTTTGACCAAAGCATCTTTTTCTCTCCCTCTGGTCGGAGCTGTTACCTCCAGAGGAGAATCCTTAGTAAAACTCTTTGTTTACATTCTGGTTTACAAAATTATTTATGTGCAACAATGTCAAAGTGTAAATTATGATATAAATGTTCACTGCTCTGATCTAAGCCCCTGTGTGCTTTTTTGTTTGACACTTTTGAATTAGTGTTTAAAATCAGTTTGTGGAAATAGGTAGAATTTAAATGAAAATAAATAGAAGGACTGCATGGTGGTGCAGTTGTTAGCACTGTTGCCTCGCAGCACGATGGTTGCACGTTCGAAACTCGGCTACAGCCTTTCTGCGTGGAGTTGCGTGTTCTCCCCATGCATGCGTGGGTTTCCTCCAGGTACTCCGGTTTCCCCCACAGATCACAACATGCCCTGTAGGTTATAAATTGTAAGTCGCTTTGGATAAAAGCGCCTGTCAAATAAATAAACATAAACATAATAAACATAAGGGATGTCCAATATTATCGGTCTTGCGATATTGGTCGATATTGGCATAAAAATGTAATATCGGGAAATATCGGTACCCATCCAGCTTTTAGATACCATCTTCTCTCTCTCAAAATTTCTAAATATTACAGATATGAGGTTTATTTTTTGAGTTATTTTAGTTTTATTTGGCACAACTTGTGAATAATTATGAATTATCTCTGTGTAGAGAGGATCTGCTGTCCTTAACATGTAGCGTTGGGTTGCTAGCAAACTACTAAAACTACTATACAAGAATCTTTCCCCAAAGCTTTCTTTTTATAACTGAAGATCTTTATAAATGTTTTATCTGCATAATCAGCGTAACTACAATAAACAGAAACTAATAAAATCATTACTTACTATTACACACATCTTAACGTCACACTTAGCAATTAGCTTCACCTAGCCTGTGTATGCTGCTTACATTCTATCAACTAAGTAACGTTAACACAAGCCCAAACATTCCCTATAACCCAATGATAGTTACAAAGTCAAAATTTCTCCAAGGCACAAAAGTAAAAAGCAAAATTACTGTGTTCGTGAGTTGTAAACTCCAGTAACGCAGGAAAGGGAAACTACGTATGAGAGGACTGCGTTGAGAGCGCTCACTCTGTTTTGCACAATATAACAAAGATAGTTTGTAAAAGCAATGTCTCACTTTGATCAATTTTCAAAACCTGAAACATGTTTTTAAACATGACTTTACTTGTACTATTTATTAACTTTTTTTCTATCATGAACTCAATAATGATCTTTGGCCTAAAAGCGTCACAGACCATTAGTCAGTGTTATCTCTGGGAGAATTTCATTCAGCTGCTGTTGGAGACAAATTAAACATGATGCTTTTTCATATTACTAACTTACATTGAAGTAGTTGCAATTTTGCTCAGATAATGTTTAAAGCTTACGCATGCATGATAGGAGATTTGTGATGTTGACATCCTAAATGATGTCTTTATTTATTTATTTATTCGTTAGAGGGGACCCCATATATGTCGGTATTGGTTTATACTGGTATCGGAAATTACGAGTTAGACAATATCGGATGTCAATAAAAAAGCCAATATTGAGCATCCCTAATAACAGTTTTGTTGGATTTTGTTGGTGTATCATCTACATGTTTGGAGGCACTCACTGAATTGTTGTGTAACATTTTAAAGAGGAAGTTCACTGGGAAACTTTTTTTTTTACGATTGGCCACTCCAAGTTTCACATGCAGGTTAAATTTAAAACTAGTCTTCTAGCCTGATTTCTTGCATTAGCCATTGCTGAAAACAGACAGGGAAACACTTGTATTAGAAACATCAGTCAGATCTGCATCGCACTGTAGTTTAATATTCATGGACTCACCCATCTTGACTCGCGAAAGGGAATACTGTTGTTGGTTTAGCCTCCAGGAGAGAGCAGAGCACGTCTCGAGTAGTAGAAGCTAACCGTTAGCATTAGTAACTCAACCACATGGTAGAACTCCATCAAGGTTGTGTTATTTGTGGAGCTAAAACATCAACGTTGCAGAGCAAATGGGATCAGTGGTAGTGTTGTGTTGCTGTTATCCAATCAGAGGAGATATGTCTGAATATTAAGAAGAATAAATAATACAACCTTAAATCCTGGCCCCTACTCGTCTGACTTTGACTTCCTGAAAACAGGAGCAGTAGAGCTCCCCCCCCCCCCCCCCCCCCTTAAAATTTGTAAAATGACTCAAAGATGGTTTTCCCAATTCAATTCTAATTATTTTAGTTCCCTTAGATTCATTTATATTCAAAAATATTTCTAAAGTCGTAAAAGTGAAAAGTTCTGAGGAATCTGGCGTACCTATTTTTTTTAGATCTGATCAGGTACTCACTTTAACTACTTAAACCTCACATATCTCATTCTCAGCTCTTGGTATAGAGAAACAAGTATAAAAGCTCCCAGAGAGGACAAGAAATTTGCCCTAACCTCAACCTGACAAGCCAATTGCTTCCTAATATTAACAAAAAACACCTGTTTGGAGCTCTTCTAAAGGATTATAAAGTAATAGATTAAATTCCTCAGAAATAAGCAGAATAATAAAAAAAATAGGAGAATACAAATCTAAAACCAAAAATGTAAGAGTTTTTCAAATCATTATTTTAAGTGCATCAGCTCAGCCATTTGAATTTTTATCACTGAGTCTGCAGTAAAAGAGTCTCTTTGGTGAAAAGTCGTGAATCTTTATGTTTATTTCCTTGTAATTCCAGTCTTTAAGACTTTAACAGGAAATGGGAACACAGCTCCTGCTGCACTATATGTGCTGCAGTAACTGTCATCTGTCTTTTATTCTGCTAAACACGAGGCAGACAGGAAACACGGCTGACTGCAGTGCTCCAACTCTTGGAAAACGTAGACATTTATATATTGCAACAATCACACACTTCAAATTATCAATTGATAATAGCAAAAATAATATCAGAAATTCTAGCGTATGGGGTCTGAGGCGAATTTAAAGCTTCTATGACAAATCTGCAACAAGCTGAGTTTTTAACGCAAACATGGAACACTCACCACTCCTCTCGGGGATCTTTCCCGGATCCACGTCCACCAGAATTGAAAACGAGAGAGCGCTAAATGTAAAATTGTCTCTTGTTGTCCGTCGCTTCAAATGATTTTGGGTTTGTTTATGTTTTTGGGTCTCTGGTAGTTTTTCCTAAAGTCGAAGTGGTAGCAACTGTGTTTCTACTTCTCTGATATTATTAAGTGGAGAACCTCTCACGCCAGTAGTGTTCTGTTGCTAAATACGAGCGTGCATAATGAATTGAAGACCTAGGAAAGTGCGGCAGTCCAGGCGAGACCGACAACCGGATGGTCCAATAGGTACTTTCATTTTTACACAAATGCAAAAGAAAAACTTTATTCATTTTTTAAATCTCCACAATAGCTATACTATGTTAGAACATTGTTAAGAGGCAAGAAAAATTTGCTATTGCAGCTAAGTCTTCTAACTATTTCCTGTATTTGTTGCCCTTAGAATATAGAGACGCCACACAGATCTTCGTCACACTGAACATTAGCATTCACGGAGTCACCCATCTTGGTTCACGACACGTAAGGCTGATGTTGGTTTAGCATCCAGAAAACAGCAGAGAACTTGGTTGGTAGAAGCTAAGTGTTAGCATTAGCGACTCCAGAACATGGCAGAACTCCTTCAGGCTTGTGGTATTTCTGGAGATTAAACATCAAAGTTGCAAAGTTAATGGAGTAAGTGATAGAGTTGCATAAAATAGCCAAACAGAGGTGAGATGTCCAAATATCAGGAAATAAGACTCTAAGGCCCTGTCCACACTTAGCCGGGGATCTGCCAAAACGTAGATATTTTTCTACGTTTTGGCCTGTCATCCACACGAAAACGGAGTTTTTTCACATGAAAACGGATCTTTTTAAAAACTCCGGCCAAAGTGAAGATCTGCGTTTTCTCCGTTTTGGGTGTCTGCGTGTGGACGGACAAAACCGGAGTTTTAAGGTCCGCAACGTCACTTTCCGCGACAAAAAAATGCTGACATCACGTGTGCGACCTGTGTTTACACTAGCCGGCATCATGGAAGCCCACAGAGCTGCGCTCTGTCACTACCCGATCCATCAATTGTCCAAGCGCTTTCTGCTTGTTTGTTTTTGCAAGCGGAATTACTGCTCCTTGCGGAAGACCACAGACGAAGGACGAGGTTAAGAACGGGGGAAGTACTGCCACCTACAGGTCTGGCATGTCCTTAACAACGTATTTATCCGGGTACGTGTGGACAGAGTTTTTTTTTAAAACGCGGTGGTGTGGATGCAAGTTTTTGGAGGGGCGGATATTCGTTTTTAAAAAACCCCGGCTACGTGTGGACTAGGCCTAAATCAGAGCTACTCTATTCTGGTATCCAGCACGATTTTAGTTTGAACCCTAATTCAGCACACCTGAGTTTAATCAGCAGGTGATTAACAGGGTTTTGCAGAGCCTGATGAGCTGCTGCACAGGTGACTCAACCATCTAGTGTGCTGGACCAGAGAAACCACCAAAACGTGCTGGATACCAGCCCTTAACTTGAATAGCCCTGGTCTAAATCCTGTCGAGTTCAGCTCAACTGAATCTGGTAATCTGGCTCACTTGTAGTTCCTGAAACAGGCACATCCCTGGAGCTTTTTTTTTTTCCTCAAAGTATGACTCAAAAGGCATTCATTCCTACAAGAGACCACAGCAAATGTATAGAAAAAAATGAGTGAACTTTAAAGGAGACCAGTTTTCTGAAACACCTCTGATCCAATAATTATTTTAACTTTCTAAAATACCTTCAGCTTCCATGAAAGTTTGCTGCGAGTCTTTGTGCCACACTTACTTTAGCAGAAAATGGATAAATTATGACTTATAGGTAAATCAAACTTAAAACTTGCTTCTGTTTAATGATAAGAGACAATTTACCAAATATACAAAGTACTATTTATGGTTTGTTAGCAGTTTGTGGATCCAAAACATCACCTGGAATAAAATTTTGCTTGGAAACATTAATTGTCAAAACAGGTTGCCCTACAGACACCATTTAAAAAATGAAGTTCTTTGCAGTATGTTGACACAACACTGGCTTGTCCCCCAGGTTTAGGTGCCTTTATCGTGTCTGAATGATTCATAGGTCAGTCTACGGTGACTTGGC